ATCTAAAGTTGCTTCAGCAGGAGATAAGAGGCAAAACAATACCAAGTTTCAGAAATAAGAATATGAACATTAGAGATAAAAGATGTTTTGTGTATACTACTAAAGTTGTGTTAAAAGTGTTTCCTTCTCCTATGAATAAATGAAATTTACGGACCACGAATTTCGAGTGTCCATATTAGCTTTCGCAAAACAAACCTGCACGAACACGAAAGAGATTGCTTCAGATTTACATTGCCCAAAGTTTCCATTCCAGCCACAGCTTCTTTTCTGATTTATTGAAAACTCAATATAACACAAGAGTTAAAAAGACACCGAGAGAAAGCTCTGAGTTGTGTAATCAAAGTTGTTTTTTTTTTATTATCATCGCAGATCCATTATTCAAATCATGGTCATGGTTTTTTGTTCTTAGTAAATGACTAATAAGATTACAGACATTGTCAGGCCAGTAAAATTTCATTCTTCTTTCTGATGGAAAACACGGATTTGACTAAGATTACCATTGAGAGTCGCGTGATATATCCTTTTGTCGCCAAGTCCCAAATCCGATAGAATCAAGTTACCCTGCAAGCAATAGGAAAAAATGTAGAACCAAGAGTGGGAAAACGATAACACACGAACCAAAACTATATACATGTCTCTAGTTTTACTGCGGTTAGGAAGCAAATACCTCAGTGGCCATTAATCTCCGAACATTGCTAGCATAGAGTTTGGGATCATCTTTCTCTTCTTGTGACGGGTAGTATACAGGTAGCCGTATCACCTCCAAGTGATTTACGAATTGACAGAGAAGAAAAATAATGTGGCGTGCCTGGAAAAACAGGAAACATGATTCTAGTAAAGAAAAGCTGATTTCTAAAGCGAAAACTTCTGAGAAATCTGCAACATGTTAAAAATAAATACTCACCCCGGATATTGTATCCCATGCCGCGCTGAAACGCTCGTATGGATATTTTAAGATAACCGGAAGAACAGGAGTTCCAGCCAAAAATGCACCTGTCTTGAATGTAAGTAAGTAGTCTCCATTGGTGGTTGTTCCTTCTGCGTTGAGACCAAACAACAGTCTAAGGAATCAATAATGGCTTGGTTGATAAATTGATTAAATGAGTAATACTGAACCTGGAAAAAGCATAATAGTTGGAGCAGATTTATTCCTATGAGCTTCTCGAACTCTCTCATTAACTGTGCCTGTAAAGATAAAAAAACAACGGTAAGAAAAACAATGTGAAAACTGTTTCGAGCAGCACTAGAGACACAAAGATAATTCAGTTCATACATTTTCTAGCTATCATAACACAGAATGACAACAAAGAAAAGATACACTAGTTGAAGATTTTCCGGTGCAAACTTTGAAAGGTGAAAATAAATTTCTTTTGTAAAAGTTACATACCAGACACACCCTTGAAGTCGGGCGATTTTGCTTCTCGTTGAACATAGACGCAACCAAGACATTTGCTGTCAGAAAAAGAAAACAAGAGATATCCAAGTTTGAGACGATCGATACAAACGAATAACAGAAAAACAAGGAGATTAAAATGTTGTTATGAGCTACAAAGATCCTCTCAAGAACTTAAAGATAAGTCATTCACAACAAACCTGATGAGGCCAATAAGAGGGAGTTTGCCCACTGATCTCTTCACCAGCAAAATCATGGAGAAAGCGCAGATAAACAAATGTTAATGTCATTGCAAATTCAAGATACTCAAAAAGAGAACTCCAAACTAACATATAACATATTTCTGTTAGTTACTAACCTTGGCAACAAAACTTGGAAAAGAAGCAGACATATGATACAAAATGTCAACGTACGAAACGTGATTAGACACAATAACTCCAGGTCTTTCAGGTTCCTCCTTAACGGCTTCGTCTTTCTGGTCAATCTGTAGCATATGGCAAAGCCAATTAAGAGAAAAAAACAAACACCAAGCCATCAGTAGGAACTAAACCTTGAATCAATTTCAGCAAAAAAGAGGTCCCAAACAAGTACCATCCTAATAAATTGTACAACAACCTAAACTTCTCCTTTGAGCTAAAATTGTCGTACCAAGCTAGAATCCTACCAATAAATAGCCCCTAAAACTATATCTTCTTCTTTAAGGTTCCTTATAACTTCACTATCCACATCTAAAACTTCAAATATGAAACTCATACCTCAGAAGAAGTAGTTTTTGAATTGGAATCCATTGCTGAATCTCGACGGCTCTCATGAATCCAATAAAACCCAAATACGAAAAGCAAAACCCTAGAGAGAAACCTCCCACATCTCACAATAACAGTCCTTCTCCAACCTCCCATATGAGCATAATCTTCCTGAAAAACAACTCCACTTTCGTCTTCTTCTTCCTCTGCTCCACGATACGGAGCAGAAAACAGCGTAAACACCCTACAAATCAAGTAATACAGAAGCAAGATACTCATCGCCAGGATAAACCGAACCGGAACAAGAGTCACCATCGCAACCGCCAATTTAATCTTCTCCGTCACCGGAAAAGGACCCAAACCCATTGTTCCATACAAATCCGTTCTAGCGTAAGGTGCGAACTTTTTATCAAGCTCTTCAATGGCTGCTGCAACATCGGATTCTGATTTCAACAAAGGACGTTCTTCTTTGCTTGAAGGTGGATTCGAATTCAAATCCTTTAGCTCCGATTCCATTATTAAAAAAAAAAAAACCTAAAAATCTAATCTTTTTTTGTTCTGAGAAAAAGGGGTTTCTGGGTTTTTAAGAGAATCACACGAGGAACAGTGATTTGTTGTTCTTATGTATAGATCGTGGATCTGGAGAAAGTGTCATCGTCTTCTCTAGATTTCCCGTGAAGTTTTCAGTTTTCGCACACACGTAGATTCGCCGTAAAAGGTAAACACGAAAACGAAAACAGGTGGTTTGATTCCGTGGAGCGAGGTATATGGTAAGTTAATATACGCTCACTGATCTTAACCGTTAGGTTGGATAGTTGAGGAAAAATGGACTACGATTGTTGATTCTATGTTTATATTAAGAAAAAAAAAAACATAACTTTTTTCTTTTCTTCTTAGGAAATATTTTTTCGGATAATGTCAATGAGATTTTCCTTTTATTTCTCCCATCAAATTTGGAGTTTGGTTGTTCTAGATGTC